TCTTTCTTTCTTTCTTTCTTTCTTTTTCTTTCTTTCTTTCTTTCTTTCTTTCTTTCTTTCTTTCTTTCTTTCTTTCTTTCTTCTTTCTTTTTTAAATGTATTTAGTTCAGGGCCTACAGGGTCTCTACCAGATTGGACTGGTAGTGTTCCTCCTGTTTTTAGCCTCCCAAGCACTGGGATTACAGGCACGAGCCACCACGTCCAGTCTCAATGTCTCAGTGTGCCCTGGGGATGAGGCTGCCACAGGATGCTGAGGATCAAACACTAGTTCCTGCCTCTGCCTAAGCAGGTGCCTTAATATGCTGAGCTATCTGCCTGGCCCTAAAATGCTTTTCTAAAGTACTCTTTAAATTCAGATATTTTCTCACTATTTTCTCCAACTGTGTTTTTACTCATGTTTTCATTACTTAATCAAAAGTAGGTTTTAGTCTTTATTTGCATATAGTGATTTATCAATTTCTTACAAACATTCCTATGATATAATCTTTCTCAAACATTGTTTTGATAATGTATTTACTATTGATTTCTTACTTATTAAATCTGATCTTTTATTTGCCATCATCTATTAACTATATCCTATTAATTTATTTAGTTTTCTGTACATTTCTTCTTCATCATTATATCATCATTCTTGTCAGACTGTTCATGTTTTTTACAAGGAGCTGTCCTCACTCTTTTTGTTATGATTCCTGAAATTACCTTCATGAAATCCACACATCACTTGGGCTTCAACAAATTTAAATCGTGCCTTAGATGATTCACAATGTCCTAGTCTTCACTTCTCATGAAAATCTGATTACATTCCTTAGTTACTTCATCTGTAGTTGGTCATAAAATTGTAACTCCGAGTGTACACCTATTTTTCTATTAATGTAAACACATATTTTGCAAACCAGAAAACTCAAGGTGGGTGATTTTAGAAAATGGTAGCAAGCTAGATGTAGCAGCACACGCCTGTAATCCCAGCACTCTGCGAGGCTGAGGTAAGAAGATAACAAAGTGAAGCTCAGTCGGGACAATTTAGAAAGATCCTGCTAAAAATTAAAAAGGAGGGAGGCAGGGGATGTAGCTCAGGGCAAAGGCCCTAAGTTCAACAGAGAGAGAGAGAGAGAGAGAGAGAGAGAGAGAGAGAGACAGCGAGAGAAAGACAGAGACAGAGACAGAGACAGAGACAGAGACAGAGACAGACAGAGAGAGACAGAGAGAGACAGAGAGAGAGACAGAGACAGAGAGACAGAGACAGAGAGAGACACTGAGAGAGAGACAGAGAAACAGAGAGACAGAGACAGAGAGAGAGACAGAGACAGAGACAGAGAGAGACAGAGACAGAGAGACAGAGACAGAGAGAGACACTGAGAGAGAGACAGAGAAACAGAGAGACAGAGACA